TTACTTGAGCGGTGGTAACCACGTAAGGGTAATAACACAGAGGCCCCCTAAGAGAATTGCTGACGACCTCCTATATGAGCACCGCGGCTGGTCGCCATGCTGGAGCAAGCGCACCTGTATGTTGTCGAATACCTCACGTCCGTGCCCTCCGGCCAGCTGCCAGCAACCGTTAATGATTGGCGCGAACGTGTAGTTGGGATCAGATTTGAAGCTGGCGCGTTGAGTTGGGCTGATCGCGGTCGTGGGTGAAGCAGCACATTGTACGCGCACCGTGCGGGCTGGGCGAGCGCGCGCGGCGCAGGTGAAAGCACGGTTCTTGCAGGAAACGTGCATTTTTAATCGCGAAGAGATTGCTAAGATGTTACAACCTGGGTATCATTTTAGACTTCACGAGAAGCCCGTTGGATGTTTGTACGGCCCATCGATCGCTATCCTACAAAAATAACCCAGTAATCTGTCTGTATATTTGCTGTTGTAGCGACAGCGTTACACGTGTATGTTCAATGCTCTTGGTGCCTTGACTGCACCCTTTCAGGTACTGCAGAACGAGGTCCCCTACCTAGTTCCTGGCCTTCCAAGACTTGTATTACAAAATACGAACTATTAGGACAGAATATTAATTGCCGATGGTAGAAAACGTGTTTGGTCGGTGGATTGACACGACTTTCGGGTTCCGGGGACGGCAGAACATTCTGTCCTGGGTCGTCGCCGGTGGCTTCGCATACTATTTCTTCTATCTACCTGAACAACGCAAGCAAGAGGAGCTCAAGGTGGGGGTTTCATCGGATGGCTCTCGTCCCAAGTGGGTTGTATTCCTGAATCTTGTGTCGTTGGGAGTCTTGCTGCCATATGTGAGTTTTCCAGCTTCTTTTACTTCCAACCTTGCATATCTAGATCTCCCCTGGCCAAGCAGCTGTGCGGATTTGATTTGTTTAGGGGAGTGATGTCGCGACACTCACCTGAGTACAAGCCATAATTCGGCCGTACTCAGACAATCACCGCTCCGTCCCCTCCCTCCCGTGATTCTGTAAAATTTGTTTACATACGTCTAGTATTGGACACCAGGACTGTCTCCAGAGACTCGGCGGCCTATTGCGCGCGCGCGTGTGTCCGCGTGTATGTGCGTGTGTGAACTGCGTTATCAGTGACCAGTAACAGGTTGTCCAACGGTTGCGGCAGCGTCCTCTCCAACCCACGTCACCCCACCTCGCTTCCCTCTATCCATTACGAGCAACCCCCCCGACCCACGCAGATCCAACACGACCTGAAGAGGAAGCAGTACGAGCAAAAAGGACTCTGGGACGTTGACAAATCCAAACCTGTCCCCGACAAACAACAACACGGCTTGGTTGTGGGCGCAGCAGCAGGGCCGCAGCAACAGCAGTCAACGGTGGCATCGCCACCCCCGGAAGGACAGGAGCAGCGGTAGCAATCGCAGCAGTAATGGTAGCCGCAGTAGCCGCTTCTGCAAGCGACGAGCGCAATGACACATTTCGTGGTTTGCAAGGGAAGGGGAAGCAACGTGTTGGCAGGGACAGCAGCAGAGCTCCTAACGACGGCCAACGCCGGCGTGTGCGGCTGCCGAGCTGCAAAGCTATCACACTCAACACGGCCGTGTTGTTGCCGTGTTGTGACACATCCGCAGCCCTCTGTCCCTTCTACCGTTCGTGTCGTTACGTCACCGACACCGGACGTTGTCGGTCGCTCTGGCACACGAGCAGTTAGGGAGAGGAGAGGAGAGGAGAGGAGAGGAGAGGAAAGCAGAAGATCATGTGTTCATACACAGCTGGGCCAGGTCCGGATTGCCACCACGGACGTGACGTGACGTGGTCCCCCTGGTGGTGGGTGTTCACACAACCTGACACACGCATGACTTTCCCCGCCTCGATAGCGGGGGTTGTATCCTGCGTGCAAGGGCTTGCTTCCCGATTTCCTGCAAGCTCCTTCTTCTCCGGGGGGGGGGGAAAGAGGAGGTTGGGCTGAGGGAGGGAGGGTCTGGATCCCGGAGGGTGGTAGGCAGCGGCCCTGGGTATTGTTGAATCATCGACAGGATCGCGCGGTGTGAGAGTGGAATGGAATGGAATGGAAGATCGTCACCTGGCCGCCGGGTGTCAACGAGTTCGGGTACCCGTAGTGTGTGTGTTTGCTGTAAAAAGACGTGCGTGCGTCCGAGAGACTATGAGGCAGAAAGGCAGAGGGGGCCCCGAGCGATTGGCTGCGGTTTGGCAGTTGTCGTCTGCAGGCCTGCTTTCCTGATGTAGTGTCTATCGTCTCACCGCGGGGCGCCAGCTGCCGGGCCATGTGCTATTCACAGCAGGAGGATGTGTTGTCAGCAGGAGCCTGGAGCCGTGGTAGAGGAAGGGGTTGTTCGCGGTGTCGTTGTCATGTGAGCGCAGTGTGTTGATGACCTGGCGGTGGACTCCAGGATGGCTGGCTGCACACAAAGTGTGAGGGGGCCGACCGAGCGCTTGAGACTGCTGGTGCAACCCGACGTGTTGTCCTGTCGGAGAATGCCGGAACCGAAAGAAAGTTCAGGGGCATATGGTTGACCGAACACATGCGGGGAAAGTGACGAACAAGGGAGCGAATTAAATATTGGCGGGAATACGTACATTCCACCACCGTCGCTAGACGTATGGGGTCCTAAATCAACTTGCCGCGCTAATAAAGATTGCCGGGTCGCGTGCTCAATCGTACGCCAGCAATTGCCGTCGTTGTACGGGCTGACAAACCCAATGGTTTCTGTGTCATATCACCGCAAGCCATCGTCTGGTCACATGAGTAAAATGCATAAGGGAAATGCGTAGCACGCACGCTGCTGATTACTTCTTTTCCGTTGGTGGGGGACAAGTCCTGGCTAGATGCTTGGCCAACCTGCGAAATTGAAAGGTGTTTCTTTTTTGTATGCAAATAGATTGCCACCCCAGTGTACAACTCGGTGGTCTTTTGTTGTACAAGCGCAGATAAGTTCTGGCAATTGTGACCATCCATCGCGACCTCTTTCGCCCTGCAACGCACAAACAGCTGTAAAAGGCATATATCAAACAAAGATAGCAGGAATGCCACCTACAGATAAAGTTGTAGACCCCGAGGACGCTGAGACACTTCGAAAGTCGGTCTGTCCCCGCATCTCGCTGGTGCCTGTCCGATACACCAAAACAATTCATTTTGTTCGCCACGGCCAGGGATTCCACAACGTAGCAGGTATGCGGTCGTCAGGGATTGCACGCACCACCAAACCCGCTTTTTCCATTCCGCCTTCAAGCGAAGGCAACCTCACAACGACCGATGGCTCAGCCTGCAACTCCATCGAAAATCCCGCCCCCAACTCCCCGCCTACGCCCAGGACATATAAACCACGATAACTACAAGCTATGGGACTACGCTGACGCGCATCTGACTGAGCTGGGCTGGGAGCAAGCAACGCAGCTGGGTAGGTGACGCGGACGTGGCGCTGCGGTTAGGCGACAGTTCTTCAGTTGCGGTGTTGTACTTCCGCAAGAACCAGTCCGCTACCAGCTGTGGGCTTGGGTCTTGTTGTGCAGCAGCTTTCAACTGCCGCGAACCCAACCCGCCCGACCCAGCACTGCCACCTCGGCTCTCCTTCATTCGCCTCAAGCCTTTGAAGCTCGAACCCGGCTCCGGCTTCTGGGCCCCCGGTGCCACCACCCATCAGGTCGTCATGTGGCGGCGGTCAAACTACCCGTTGACCTGGTAGTGGTCGCACCCCTGCAGCGGGCACTGGAGACCGCCGTGGCCGCGTTCGGCAGCAAGGAACAAAATCACCCCCACAACGGTGATAACGATAACGGTAACGGTGACAGCCGGGATGCTGCTGGTGCGACTGCGGATGGTGGGGAGGACTCGGCGCCGTTGTTGATGGTGGCGCAGGAGGGGTTGGCGGGCAAGCGGACGGCTCACACGGCGATATCCAGCAGGGGCTGTCCGCCCTTCATTGCCCACGAGCTGTGCCGGGTGAGTGACGTGTGGCTGATGTGCCGGGGCCGACTTCGCTGCCGACTCAGCTCGGCTTGATTGCTGGGCTGCATGGCTGCAGCGCTGGGTAGCTGGGTGCGGGGATGTGGGGGTTGCGGCCCGCAGGACATTCCAAGAGAGGCGGGCTCCCGAGCAAGGGAGCCGCTCATGCACAGGTGCCCGTCGGAGGGAAAGGGACGGCGAGCCGGCGGATGTGGGGGAATGGGGCTGGTAGGAGCTTTCGCTGACTTCCTGTTACAGCGGAGCCTGGAGCACTCTCCTGTGTCATGGCGACGGTTATGACGACGGTTATGTTTTGGCTATGTGCGCAGGAGCACATCGGGGTCCATCCCTGCGATCGCCGCAGTCCGGTGTCCGAGTACAAGAAGCGGTGAGCAGAGGCGCCCTATGATGTGTGAAACAGGGGGGTGTATCTTCGCCCGTGGCAGCTACCCTGCGAAACCCTGCCTTCCCCGGTGTTTCGGGGCACCCTCATCCAGTCACCCTAGTCAACTTCTCAGTGGATCGCTCAGGTTCCGCACCCACCACCAGCATCCAACGGAATCTGCCGGGTCGACAGCGGCCCAACTCCGTTCCTGGTCGGCTCGCAGGCTAACTTTATCCCAGATCACCACCGTCCATCAACTATGGGCGCAATGCCTTCCACCATCGGATGGACTTTGACCCTAATGGGTATCGATCCCGGGATCTCCCGGGGGCAATGGTCGCGCCTTACCAGTAGTGCCAAACCCTATATTCGCTTCTTCACTCGCGGTAATAAGTAGGAACCCGCCACCCGCCGAGTGGTCACGCGTAGCCATACGATACATGGGGTATACGGCACCTGGAAGCGTGTCCAATTGGCCCAGAAGCCTCCCACTCTGAAACAACAACAGCACCAAGTGAAACAAGTGCACTCGCGCCGGCAGGTCTGCTCTCATATCAACTATAGCATGCAAAGCCTTGAAAACCCCACACCCATCACCGGGCGCCGTGGCCACTCATGGCATCTATATTTATATCACGCTCCCCCCTCTCATCTGCCCACCTTTCTTACTCCGCTGTACTGTAAGCTACCCATCGTGCTTCATGTGTTCATGTTTTCTCGTCACGGCTGCCTGGAGCTGTTACTGATACTTCTCTGCGCTTTCGTGCAACGCCCACAGTTTTCCTGCTGTGGACTTTTCGCTGGTGGACCCGGATGAGGATGCGTTGTGGACTCCAAATCACAGAGAAACAAAGGACGAAATCCGCCGCCGCGGCCTTGCGTTTCTCAAATGGCTAGCGACGCGGCCGGAGCGCAATATCGCAGTCGTGTCTCACTCATCCTTCCTGCACTTCACGCTATCTTGCTTCGGGCAGGGCGCCGCAGAGGCGGTGCAGGGCGAGATGCACAAGTGGTACGACAACTGCGAGATGCGGTCGCTGGTTCTGAGTGATGACAGTGCGGAGGCCGCGGAGGCGGCGGCGGCGGGAGGTGCTAGGCCGGTGGACCAATGGCACTTTGCCGGCGGGTTGCATGCGACGGGCCTGCCCCACTGAAACGCGGTGAGCTGAATACTGGAACGGTCGCGGCCGCACACAGGCTCGGGGAGCCCGGGGAGTGCTGCTGACTGATGTGTGGTAGCTGTGCTGGTGCTGCATGTGTTTAACGGTACTTACCTACCTGCCGCCGTACAAATGTACGATAAGCTTCATGTAGGACACGGGTTCGGCGTGTGCGTGCGTGCTTGCGCGCGTCCGTCTGTCTATTTATCTTGTCCTCGCGTTGCCTCGTCATTGACTTTGTTGCAAGGGCTGGTACTCTCCCGGAAGCGGAGGGCGGTGTCTCATAATGCGCAGCTACCGCAAGGACTGCGTTCGGCAGTGGCGGCATTCGTCCCCTCGTTCCCGGTAGAACGTGAGAGTCGGCTTTGGGGGAAGGTGGAGCACGCCATTTTGCATGTTGCGCGAGCTTGAATGAAGGACGGACGGATGCTAAGTGAGGTGGACTGGCCTGTGATAGGGTGGCGAGGGGGTACAGCCATGGCGGGTGTGAGTGGCCCTCACGCATATCAGGGTTGGCCCTCCTAATAACCCGGCTGGCCGCCCCCCGGTTTCCTAGAGGTGAGCGTTGTGTGAGCGTTGTGTTTGGTGTAGCTGGCCGAGTAGCAGCTTATCGGAGCAACATGACGCGGCCCCTTGAAGGCCCCCCTCTTCTGGAGGGAGCTGTGGACCTCGCGGAGGTCTACCCCTGTGTATGGTATCGCAATGCGGCCTATAAGTGCCGGATTTGAAATTGGAACTTTAACGACGAGACGTGTGTATGTTGGCGTGCAGGCGTGTGTGTATATGTATGTATGTATGTATGACTTAGATTACACTGTGGGCTGCGAGAGCCGGGGGCCGAAGCCGAAACACAGCGCAAGGGTCGGGAGCACACAGCACAAGTCGGTTAGTCTTGTTAGATTACACTGTGGGCTGCGAGAGCCGGGGGCCGAAGCCGAAACACAGCGCAA